TTATCAATTTTTTGTGCAATGAGATCAACAACCTTCCATGATTAAAATAAAAAATATATATTTATATAATAAATATATCATCAAACACATGTAATATATTTAAATATTATATGTATTTACAAATAAATACCTGAAAGAATATATCCCGTCGAAAAAAGTGCAAATAAGTCTTTGGTTGGCCATGGACTTTCCTTTCAAATCTAGCTCAACCAAACAAAGGATCTTCCAAATTCGGTACAAAAATATCCTTTTCAAAGAAATTTTTTTTGATCATTTCCAACAAATCATCCCATCCATCTTCTCTATACAACTTCAAATCATATTTCAATGTTGTAATGAGCAATGAAAACAAATTTGAAACTCATCATTTTACCAATTATACCTGCTGCAGTTCCTCGATTTTTTTTATTCGGGCTATCCTCCGAAATAGTATCAAAAACATCTTTTATTGCATCCCACATATTTAAAATTCGGTCTAATGTCCTATAATGAGAACCCCAACGAGTATCACCTGGACGAGCCAAACTTGTTTCTTGATTTTTGCTTTTTCCTTTAACAATTTCACCACACTCAATGCGCCAAACAAGATCTTCATGGTGTTTTTGTCGCATCGCATCACTTCTTTTACCTGAAGCTCCAACAAGATTCACAATATAGATTAAATGATCAAAAAAATCGCTTACTAATACTTGATCCTTTGAAGTTGCGACAACCACTAACTGAAGTTGATGATCAAAACAATGAACATAATATGTTTGCTTATGTTCATTTAGGATGAGTGTTTTAAAATAATGAAACTCACCTCGCATGTTGGAAGCCCCGTCATAATCTTGACCTCTAAGGTTATAAAGTGATAAACCATTCTTTAAAAAAAAATCATCAATAGCACATTTTAAAGAGTTTGAAGTAGTATTACTAATATGTACTAGTCCAACAAATCACTCATTCACTTCTCCCCTATTGTTTACATATCTCAAAACAATAGACATTTGTTCCTTCATAGAACTGTCTCGAGCCTCGTCAATCAAAATTGAGAAAAATTTGTCTTCAATTTCATCAAAAATAACTTTTCTCACTTCCATACCACAAGCATTAATAATATCCTTATGAGAAGTCAACTGATTATTTCATAGAGCATTTAAGTTTATCACTTTCTTAACATCTTCATTATGATCACAATGCCAATTAAAAATTTCAAGAAGATTACCTCTTTGTAAAGATGCTTCCGACTCATAATGGCCACCAAAAGCAAAACCTTATTGCAAAATCAATCGAACTACGTTCACAACCGTTGTCAAACGAACACGATAATCAAATTCTATTTCCTTACTTTTTTGGGATAACAAGTAATCAGCATTGTTCATCTGATCCCTAAATGATGAAGCTTGAATTTTAGCACTATGATGCGCACTTCTTGTATTGCCTATATTCTCTTGAAATTTGTCTAAGGCTCTTTTCCAAGTTTTGAACTAAACTTCAGTAAAAGTAGTATCTCCACCGTATTTATGACCTTTACTAAACAAGTAGCATACTAAACAAAATACAGCATCTTTTTTAACACTATATTCAAGCCAATCAAATTTATCAAATCATGTCACTTGAAACTTTCTCATAAATTTACCCGAGCTACTTTTTGAAAAATTGCATTCGCGTGGTTGATATGGACCTCTAGCCAAATATCGCCTCCTCAATTCACTAATGTTAGCAGGATAACTATCAATAGGTTGAAGTAATCCTGGATCACAAACTATGTCAATTTCCGACAATAACTCTACTTCTAATCATGGAATCTTAGTTGGTTTAGCTTCTTTGTCATTCCTACTTATTTCAGTTGGACTAGATAAACTTGGAGTTGTCCTCTTTGATTTAATAATAAACTCATCAATAATTTAATACCTAAATAATAACAATAATTCATCTAATTAACAGCAATAAAAATTATAGGAAATCAATTCTAATTCAAAAAATACAAATGTATTGAACTAAAAAAATAATCTAAAGTATTCAAAACAAATATCCAAAGACAATGTAAAATCAAATTCACCAACAATAATCAAATAAATCATAACACCCAAACTCAAATAAAAAAATAGTAAACAAACCAACAAAAAATAATGCAGTATTTAAATAACTTACAAAATATTGTCTAAATCGTAAATCTCGTAAAACAAATCCAATGTAGTTGCACACAATCAAACCATCAATTACTTCTTAGTGTTCTTTCCAATTATTCAATCCAAAGTTTCAAACCAAATACCAAAATATTGTAATGTATTTCAATGAATTGTATCGATATAAATATTTGTATATTTAAGACAATTACAACACAATTAAAAAATAACTAAAAAAAAATTAAAATTAAAAGTAAAACAAATAAACAATATTTTATATTTTAAAATTTGCAAGAAATTTAGAAACTGCTGGTTTGCAACACGCATCTGCACAAGAGCAATTCGCCCAGCCACAATCATCGGCTCGACGGCGTGAAGGAAGGAAAGAACAGAGTGGTGACCGGACAATTGCGAAAAATAGAGCCATAGAATAATGAGCAATCAATACGCAAATTCGCAAAAGAGAAGAGAATGAAGCAAATATTGAAAAATTTGAAAATTAAAAATAAAAATTATATCAAACTTAAATTTAATAATAAATAATTAATCATAAATATATATATATATAAAAGAAAACTTGATTTGGTTTGGAAACATCAATTTTTACGTGAAGACTGTAAACATACAATTATATTAGAAGTTGTCGCATTACATGACTTGTGGATTAGAATTTTTTTTTTCGACACACTAGGTACAAGCAATATCATTAACATTTTTGATTGATCACAATTATTTAATGATATTTTAAATGACAGAGACTCATAAGTTATTACCTTACGGTAAGGGTGAACACAGTTTAATTATTTGCAAATAAGTATTTAATATTCAAACCCGTATTTGAACCAAAAATTCAATTAAATAAAAAAAATTACAAATATTTGCAAATAACTCAAACCAAATCAAAATTAAAATATATATATATATATTAAAAAATAATTTAAATTCTACCTATAAAAAAATATTTACAAATATTTAATATTCAAATGAAAATTAAACTAAAAACAAATATAAATTTTAAAATATAATAATATAAATAAATTTAATTCAATTATAAAAAAACTTAAAAACCAACCGAACAAATATCAAAGTCCAATATTTATATTCAAAGCCATGGTCAACCTTCATCCCATCTATTTGTCTTCCACAAGATTTTAAGACATAATCATTTGTACAAATATCAAAAAACCACTCAAAAAATTGTAGAATGTGATTCAAAGTATTAAAAGCTTGATCTATCTTACTTACAGGAAACATTGTTTATTATTATTATTTTTAAAATAATTAACCATTTTAATTATATTTTAAAATTCATATAAATTTTAATTTATAATTATTTTTATTATATAATACTACATCATTTACATTTTTGCATATTAATATTTTAAATATGAATTATTACCAAAATATGGTACAAATAAAAAAAATTACAAAAATATTTTTATTAATATTTTATAATATTTGTAAAAAAAAACTTCTTATAAATATAAAAATATTTTTAATATTAAATATTTGTTTGGAAGATTGGCTTAAATCCAATTATTCATTGAATTTTTTCCCCCCAAAATGTCAAATCAAACACCTATTTTTTATTTTTTTATATTATACTAAAATCAATTTTACATTCAAAACATCACATCAATACCTATTTATATCACATCATACAACTATTCAAATTCAAAATTTTTACTATTCAAATCCCAATCTAAAACCCAAACCCCCAAACAAACACACCCTTAAAAACAAAAGATAAACATAACCCATAAACATTAGTAATTTTACTTATACATATCTTGATTAATTATTAATTACACAATATCTAAAAATATAAAACTCCTTGCCGAATTCTCCGGCATTATACAATTATACTGTAGATTTCTTGTATGCTTTTCAATAACATCTTTGCTGTTGAGAAATCTAAAAGTATAATTTCTCCGCTCTCCATGTTCCTCGGGGGCTATCTCCAACCCATTTATCCAATTTTAACTTAAAATATACAGATGTTTCAGCAATTTTACTCCAATCATATCGTTACACTGTCACAACGCCATGATTTCTGGCAACCCAGCGCCATTATAGACTCTGGGTTCGAGATGGCCTTAGAAGAACATCAACAATTTCTACACAATCCTTACCATCAGGAAAATAAGTACCTCAATTGAATTACAAATTAAAAAACTAACATGACATCTAGAAAATACAAAATTGACAATGCAAATAAATACACTACGTGTGACAAGAAGATTATCAAAAAATTAATACTACACCTTATAACTCCAATTTTTAGAAATAGAAAATTAACTTTCTAACATAGGCTTTAAAGATAAAAATAAATAAAATGACACAAGTTTTGTAATGGAGCAAAATTTACTTGCAAATTTTTTATAAAAACCATGACCCATCTTCGAAAATCCAATTAATTTCCAAACTCTACAAAATCCACAAAAGGAACAGACGATTTGCTACAAATTTAACAAAAACCACTTGAGTAAGCAAATCACATCTTTCTAAAAAGGTAGTTTCTAATATATAAACATATTTCAAGAAACATAAGAGAATGATGGATCTTCTAAAAGTGGAAGAATTTGAATGATAAACCAAACCAATCCATTACTATCCCTACCGATGCCTGTCTCCAAAAAAATTCCAGAAACTAGACAATCACAAATCCAAGGTGAATTAATAGCCTAATCAAACATGAAAAAGAAACCATGAAATATAAGAGAAGAATTCTCAGACATCCAAGGAAGGATAAAACAGCAGAAGCTCTCAAGCCCGGCGAAAGGCGAAAGCTCTTAGGCGGCCACTGCGAATGTTTTGAGAAACAAGCCTTTGGATTTGTCATCATCGTTACCAAAATCTACCAACATATATATATATATATATATATATGAATTTCCCATCATATATGGCTAGCAATTTACTGAATGAAAATGCTAACAAAGTGAAGATGAATTCAATCTGAGGGACTCCTTCAGATCTCAAGCTCTGTCGACGCTTGAGGGCTCAGACGTTGAGAGTCCCAACCAGACCACCTACAAAATTCTTAGAGACCAAAATCAAAATCATTAAGAAATCAATTGAATTCCTTCAGAACACTGTAAAATCATTCACCGATTACAATTAAACAAAAGAAAAATAAAATAAAATTACACTTAAAACACAACATGGAAACAGATGAGAACAAATAAAACCTCCGCCAAACAATAAACAACAGCATAAGAAATCGAAAGTGTCTCAGACATCCAAGGAAGGATAAAGCAGCACAAACTCTCAAGCCCGGCGAAAGGCGAAAGTTCTCAGGCGGCCACTGCGAATGTTTTGAGAAACAAGCCTTGAAGTCATCATCACAGACACCGTAAAAATCAATCAATCAAAAGCAATTTTTTTCTAAAACCTAAAGAGAACAGTACACCAACGGATCTCACCAACACAGCACCGCAATACGACATGATCTGTGAGGAAGAGTTGAGAGCGGATGCCCTTATATAGCCATGGAGAATTAGGGTTTAGTAAACCTAGAACAGTCTGGAAGATTTGGCCCATTCTGACATGGGCTCGTTGATAGACTTGTTCAATCTGTTCATCTAACAAAAATATTAATAATTGATTACGGCAAAAACATTCATTATTATTAATTTTTTATAATATTAAAATTAACAAAAATAAATATATATTAATTATTTCAAATTTATAAATTTTTATTATATAATTATATTTAATTTAAATTATATTATTATTTAATTAATTAATATTTTTACAATTAATTTTTAACTTAATTTAATTTAACTGTTTACTAAATTTATTATTTTAATTAGTATTTCTACTGTTACAATCTAATCAATTACTATTACTCCTATTATTATATTAGACAATAAATAACTAATAAATATATATTTAAATAAAATTAATAATAAAATTAATTGTTTTTGAATAAAATTAAAATTTTAAAAAATGAAAAATATAAAATTATTAAAAATAAATAAATAAAAATTGGTGATTTTTAAATTGAAACTATCACACCTTAATTTAAATTTTGATCCGAAATGTTCAATTCCAATTTGATCTTTGATAAATTGAAACTGTTAAATAAAAATTTGATTTCAATTTGATCTTTTGCTAAACAAAAATAGTTTGTTCAAATCATTTGAGCATGTCTACTTCTTGTTATTAATTTATTTCCGGGTTGTTATTACAACTAAATAATAATCGATTCTTAGTAAGTTACCAATAATCATAATAGCAATAAATATAAATTAATACAATATTATAATATAATGAAATATTTGGAATAATCAGGGCCTGGGCCCGGACGAAATGGACGACCGCCCAGGCCCCAATCTAAATAGAGGCCCATTATATTTTTATATTACATATAAAATATTTATATATACAAAATATTTGATTTAAATGTATTAATAGATGGATGTGGTTTGGTGGTTGAGTACTACATGCACTATTCTAAACAAATCTATGCGTACCTTTAAAATTTAGAAGTATTTTTTTATACATTAAACAAAATTAATATTAATACTCTTTCTGTCCCGTTGGAAATATTAAGAGGGAGTACTATTATTGATATTTTGTATATAAAATGTTTGAAAATTTATTTTATTCAATTATTTATATTTTATTATACATAAAAAATATATTATTTTTACATATTTAATGGCCTCTAATTTTTGTTTTAAAATTGTTTAAACAAAATCAATATTAATACTATTATTCATATTTTATCTAAAATGCTAGAAAAAGTTATTTTATTTAATTATTTATATTCTATTATAGGTAAAAAAAAAATAGAGTATATCATTTATATTTATTTAAGGGTCTTTTATTTTTGTTTAAATTTTTTTATTTTTTATTTTTGCATTAAAAAGAAAATAAGTATTAGACAAAATTATTGTTATAATTATACAAAATTGTCAGTAACTCTCTTATTGTTTCGAAACTCAGCGTAAATCTTATTTGTATTTAAAAAATTACATGACGCCCTTTTATGGATGATTATCATCTATATTTTTTGCATGGCGGGAGTTTCATATAACATTTGTTAAAATATAAGGGAACACCACATAATTTTTAAAGAACACGAGAAATTTATGCTAAATTTCGAAATTACATGAAAATTATGGGCAATTTCACACTATTATTATTATTGATATTTTTTGGTATAAAAATACTAGACAAAATATTTTTATTATAGGTAAAAAAATATTAAATATATATTTAAGGACTCCAAATTTTTATTTTGCTCCCGGCCCTTTGAAAGTGAGGACTGGGTCTGAGAATAATTTGGTAGGCTCAGGTCACATCCCACTCCACGCCAACTTTAAGCCTTCCAACGATGCAACACCACAAAAGGAAACGGTAAGGGTTTTGACACTAAGGAACCCAAAGAAGGGAGGAGATTGCACAAAGGTAAAGAGGAACATAAGCGACTATCTCTCTCGGCTCTCACTCGCTTCACTCCCTTCCAAACCCATTGCCTCACACACACACATATACATATATATCCTTAAGCACATATATATAATAAGTTGTACGGATGGCTATCTGTTATTACGTAAATGTCCTTAATAGTGTAATATTTATTATTTTATGAGAAGTTGTACGGATGGCTATCTGTTATTATGTAAATGTCCTTTATAGTATAATATTTATTATTTTGAGCAGTTATACAAAGTGGTAATATTATAGGCAAGTATGACTAAATTTACCAATTAACCCCCGCATTGTCAGTTTTACTGAGGATATTGGGTGTTGTTGAAGTTTGTGTTTTCCAATTTCATTTGTTATTTTATAGTGATTTACTTGTAAAAAATTTATTGATATGAATATCATTTTATAGATCGCAACATTTACTTTAATATAATAACTTAGTTACAATATTTTAATGTTATGATATATTAAGAAATGCATTTGAAACTAATGCAGGAGTTTTCGAGTTTGTTGATGACGCAAAACAAAAATTATTTGAGTCCGACTGGACGGTTGATCAATATATATCATTTGTACATGAATTAAATATTTAATTTAGCTAAAATTAAATATTTAAATAATACATAAATAATGTCTAAAAATATAATTCAAGAAACACATTAATTCATTTAATTTATACACAAAAATAATTACAAATATATTTAAAAATTAATAACTTAATAATGCAGAAATTATTGGGAGCAGCTGGGAGAAAACAGAATTAATAGGAGCAGCTGGGAGAAAGAAGAGTAAATGCAATAGTTGGGGGAGTCCGGCGGATTAAATGCAGCCGACCAGCCATCGTTTTAATTCCGCACAGCAGCCGACTACGCTTACCTCTATGCAGAAGTTTCCGCGCTGAGTAAATGCAGCCGACCAACTATAAATGGTTCCGCTGGTTTCTGTGCAAAATTAATACGACTGTCATTCAATTAATAATCATTGTACAAGGATTTTTGTACTAATTAATACAAAATTGACAGGTATTAAAAATTACACAATAAATATTTAATAAAATAAAATATACTATTTATTTAAAAATATTTATTATGCCATCATTAAATATGTAAATTATATTTCCTTATAATATTTAATTTAGCTAAAATTAAATATTTAAATAACACATAAATAGCATAAAAATATAATTTTAGAAACACATCAATTAATTTAATTTATACAACCAAAATAATTATAAAATACATATTTAAAAATTAATAACTTAGCAGTAGGGGTGTCAAAATTCAATCCGACCCAAAAAACCAAACCCGTTCAACCTGAAAATTTTCAGGTCCGTTTGGGCATTTCGGGTTTGAAAAAAATCGGGTTGACCCAAATCCGAAACGAAAAAAATTCATGTCGTGTTCAGGTCGGGTTTCAGGTTGACCTGATAACCCGAAAAAAAAAATTCAGGTCAGATTTTGGGTTTCGGGTTTCAGGTTGACCTGATTTTTTGTTTTTTGTTTTTAATTTATAATATTTATGTTATATTAAAAAAATTAATAAAATATAAAAAAATAGAAAGAAAAACAAAACCCCACACACGAATTAAGAAAGAACAGAAAGAAAAATACAGACACCCTACGACTAGCATCCTCCCAAAGTAAAAACCCTATTAAGAAGAAGCCGCCCTGCCGTAGCACCACGCAAACACCAGTCGAATTGAAATTTTAATTTGAAAATATTATTCTTCTCTCAAGTTTCATACGGCGTCGGAGTTCATTTGGAGTAATTAAATCTGAAAAATTGTTTGTTCCAACGGTTCATTTCTTCCGGTAAATTTTTATATCTTCTCATCTATTTTATCTTTTAATTTTTTTTTCTTTTCCACCTTCAAAATATAATTTATTTATAGTTCAGTTTAAAGATTTTGGAATATTTTATAAAAAATTTGAATGTATGAACGATTTACAATTTAGTTTTAAAATTTTTCTTGAGTTTATCCGTAATAAAAAATTGTTTATATAACATAATGAACATTAAGATGAAATATTATCTAAAATTATGTTTTTTCTGTTTTAGTTGTATTTATATATATATAATCAAATCTCTTTCTTCCTCATATTTTTATAGTATTGTCATTATTTAATCTGTTGTTTGCATACTCTTGATGTGTATATTATAACTAGTAATAAAAAAAAAAAATTTATGTTGTGTAAGTCATTATGAACTCAAACGAAGATCTTGAGATTTTGGATGATGAGGATGAGTCAGTATGGATCCTCAAGCCACTTTTTTGGGATCTAACTCTATAAGTCAAGAGACCGATTGAAAGAAATTGGAAGCAACATCGGGTTCCAAACGTAAAAGAAGACTAAATCTAAAGTATGACAACATTTTGAGTTGTTGCCACAAGAGGAGGGCAAACCATTGAAATGCAAGTGCAAACATGCGGTGATTTATTATCTAAAGATATTGGTCAAGTTTTATTAGATTGTGGTAATAATAGTCTTGGTGTGAGGACACAAAAATTTGATCAAGAACGGTTTAGAGAGCTTCTTGTCTTAGGCA